ATATAAACATCTTGTAACATTATTATATTTTTTTCTACAGAAGATGTTCGAAATATCCTCCATTTTCTTCTGCACATAAAGCAATTCTCCGTATTAAACTTTCTCGTACCTTCGATAACATTGTAGATGTGATTTTTTCACTTGCTACTTATATTCTTTGCATCAATTCATTTCTATTACGTGGTAATGTCTCGTAAATTTGATCACGTATGTAGCCCCACACAAAAAAATCCATGGGCGTCAAGTCAGGTGAGCGCGGAGGCCATTCCTGCAGAGTACTATGGATGCCTATCCATCTATTAGGAAATCTTTGATTTAAAGTGGTGCGAGCAAGAAGCGATGTGTGAGCAGGATGCCCATCCTGTTGAAATATTATGTTTGGAATTAAAGCCAATGGAACATCTTCTAATAGATACGGCAATGTTTCTACTAGGAAAGCAGAATAAGTTTCTGCTGTAATATTAACATCTTCCGGTAAAAAAATGGTCCAATAACATAATTATCCAAAATCGTCATCCAAACATTAATATGAAATTGTCCCTGAACATGCGTTTCCTTTCGGCAATGAGGATTTTCCTGCGCATAATGATGTTCGTTATGTCTATTTATGTGTCCATCACTGCGGAAAGTGCATTCATCTGTCCAGAGAATTCTTTTCAAAAAATTATCATTAGCAATATTGTTCATGTCAACCTGGAACAAAGGTAGATGGTTACGATTTTGTTTTTAACAAAGTTTTTGAAAGCAAAATGGCACAAACATTATTAAGTACTTACTTACTCTGAAAGCCAATCACAAAAAGCTTCTCGTCGAGGCAAATCTTGAGGAAATAATCTTTGTGTTGTGTGTCTCTTAAATGGATGCCATCCAAGATTATGTTTAATAATTCTGTGGACTTTAGTATGATCCAATTGTAGTTCATGTCCAATACTTCTCGTACTTGTATGTGGATTAGCAATAATAGCTTCTCTTACTGCATTAATTGTTGCTTCAGCTCGTTGCGATACATGCAATCGACGTTTTGGAGCATGTAACATTCCATGTTGACAAAGTCTAACAAATAAACTTCGAAAAAATCCATGTCTTGGGTGTCGCTTATTTGGATAACGTTGTGCATAGAGAGCAGCGGCTTGTCTTTGATTTTTATAGCATTCTCCATAAATAAGCAACATGTTTGCTAATTCTTCGTTTGTGTAACGCTCCATCATTAAACACATTAAAACGTGACTTCTTGCAAACAGTTACGGATGAAATGGCGATTGAAATAACGTGAAATTTGCGTTGTTTTATCAATCGATTGTTTTAACACGCATCTATGATCATCTATGACATCTTCACGACATTTCGATCCGTAACTGTTTGCAAGAAGTCACGTTTTATAAGCATTGGGTTTTTTATGTAATAAATTTAAAAAAATCAAGTTTTTAATTTCTTTTAGCTTCGGAAATTATTGAAAAATTACAGATATTAATATATCGTAAGACAATAGCCACAAAGTTTATATTGTAACGTTCCGTCTTTCCCGGAGATTAGATTCACGGATAAACTCGTCGGATTCGGGGTAATGAATGGTGAGCGAATTTGCGATGTAACAGAAAAGAAAGTATTTATTCAAATTGAAGGCGTGTGTACAAGTAGAGTGTGTATCTCGCTGCGATTATAAATGTGAGCGTGTTCGAATGTATAACTGTTTGCGTGGTAACTGGTTGCGAGTATAAATGTGAGCGTGTTTGCCGTATCAACTGTTTAAATGCGCGTGCAGAATGCAGGTGAGAATGCGCCGATATAATCGTGGTGCGTACGCTCGATAATTCGCTGATATAATACGCGTGTATAAAAAACGTTGTTTTGACGCGTGCGGATATGCGCTCGGTATCGGTCGAAGACCTCGCGTTGTTGTGACGGTCTTTTTGTCGCGTTTCTTGCACGGGGAATCCCGTCGTTCCGGGAATCCCGTGTACGAAGAAAAAGCCGGTGGATTCCGAGAAACAATGCGTTATTTTCGCGAAATAATATGCGATCCCCGCGAATTGAAATATCGTGCTGATAAATTGGAATCGCGTTTAAGAACAGCTGGCCTCGAGAACTCTCGATCAGGGCGGCTCTGAACTCCAACTTCCGTGGGTTTTGCCAGCCGGGATGTGGAGGAGCGGATGGAGGCAGTACCCCGCGCGATAACGAGAACTCTCGGCTTAGGCTGAGCACGCTCAACCTACTTGATCGGGGCGGTAGTGCCGGTTTTCAGGTATCTGGTAAATTCTCTTGAGCGTACAGCTTAGAGCGGAACAGGAGAATGTGTGTATTAGCCGAAACACGGCCTTTTTATACCGGCTAATTACCCGCGTCGGCGCGCGGCGGTTTACCCCTTCCGGGTTAATTGCGGTACGGTACGGTCGGGCCCGTTCGGAGGGATTCGGGTTTGCGCCGAGCGCGGGTTTTCGCCGGTCGGTCGGTCGGGCCGCGTCGGCTTCGCTCGGCAATTCTCGGCGCGCGGCGGTTTACCCCTTCCGGGTTAATTGCGGTACGGTACGGTCGGGCCCGTTCGGAGGGATTCGGGTTTGCGCCGAGCGCGGTTTTCGCCGGTCGGTCGGTCGGGCCGCGTCGGCTTCGCTCGGCAATTCTCGGCCGTTTTGGATTTTTACAACGGCCCCGGTTTTACAAGTATTCAAAAATGTGGGCGCACCGCGCCCCTGCCTCTGCCTGGCGGGTGTTTTACCGGGCGGCAGCTTCCGGCGATGTTGTTGCCGGGAATTCGGAACGGTGCATCGGAGTGCACCGTTACAATATATATATACAGGGTGGGCCATTTAAAGTGATCCACCCCAATAACTTTTTTATATTTGAATGTACAACAAAATGTTTCAAATAAAAGTTGCTTGACTTCGAGGGGGACAGAAGATGGGTGGCAAAAATTTGACCTTGGATAGTCATTTGAAAGTCGTATAAAGATTACCTTCAATTTCTTAAATGGAACCCCCTATTTTTCATTGCATATTCTTGTAGCTTATCTCGAGAGCTTTCCAAAACACTATAATTAAGTACCTTTTTATTAAGTACTTTTTGAGTTATAAGGCTTGAAATAATTTCTTAATTTTACATAAACCATGAAATATCTAGTAAACCATTCATTTTTCGATTATCTTACCTTGATACTTTTATGTACAAAATAATGAGAGGAATCAATTGGTGTAAAGGAAACACATAGTTGTTTCTAAGAAAAAATATGTAATTTGCAATTAACAATTCCATATTTTTTCTTAAAAACAACTGTATGTTTTCTTTACACCAATTGATTCCTCTCATTATTTTGTATATAAAAGTATCAAGGTAAGATAACCGAAAAATGAATGGTTTACTAGATATTTTATGGTTTATGTAAAATTAAGAAATTATTTCAAGCCTTATAACTCAAAAAGTACTTAATAAAAAGGTACTTAATTATAGTGTTTTGGAAAGCTCTCGAGATAAGCTACAAGAATATGCAATGAAAAATAGGGGGTTCCATTTAAGAAATTGAAGGTAATCTTTATGTGACCTTCAAATGACTATCCAAGGTCAAATTTTTGCCACCCATCTTCTGTCCCCCTCGAAGTCAAGCAACTTTTATTTGAAACATTTTGTTGTATATTCAAATATAAAAGTTATTAGGGTGGATCACTTAAAATGGCCCACACTGTATATATATATATATATATATATATATATATATATATATATATATTAGTTATATTTATTATATTAGTTTTAATAATATAATAATATAAGATAAAATGTAGTAGTATCATTTATAAAGAATTATATAATGCTCATTAATTACATAAAAGCATATCGGTATATTAAATTATCAATCAATAAAAATTAGTATATTAAATTATTATTTATATGCTAAATTATCAATTAATTAATTAATTATTAATATTTTTAAATAAATATTAAAATCCATCGATAATCGATTTTGTCGTTATTTAAATTTGCAGTGAATCAAATTTATTTGTCAACTTATTATATGCAAAGATATGTTTGTTACTGATTTTCATTCTTTGCAAGAAATAATTTAAATAATAAAATTATATTATTTAATAATTATGATCAACTATGATCGGCTTTTTCTCATATAAAAAAAGACATCCTTCATTTTCATGATAAAATTTTTATAATCTGTATTGTCACTTCGGATTTATTTTAACTTATTGCTACGAAAGTCCGTCATAATTGTATCCCAATTTGATATGCTACGAATTTTATTGAAAAAATTTCCTACTGATTGTGCCGCCAAAGCTATGCAATTGTGAACGATCTTGCGCGCCTGCTAGTATGGGCAACCCGTCATACTGAGCTGTATGTAGATGCAACACCCTGTACGTTGGTAGTTGCACCCTGCGGCATTTTTAGTGTCTCTTTGACGTTTTTTTTTTTTCTCGGTAAGGCTCCTCGTCCGTGTTTGAAAGGAGCGAGATATAATCCATGACCTTCCATGGCGCGATTGTAACGTAGCATCTCCTGCAACTGACGTTGCGCGGCTTTTCTGTCGTTCACCACCTTCGCTACACCAGCCGCTCCACCGATCAGGGATCCGAGCGCTCCCAACATTGGTAGAATCGGCAATACACCGCCGCATTTCGCTACCGGAAGTATCCGTTTCTTCGCCGTTCTTTTCTTCGTCTTCATTGTCTTCAGACCCATACCGAGCTTCGTCTTAGCTTTCATCGCTGTCCAGACAACTGTAGCGGCGGCTCTCTCACCGAGAGTCGAATCTCTCGCAACGATGCGATTCCGCGCTTTCTCGGCGAGTATCCTATCCGCAGCGTGTCTCTCGGTGAGATCGTTGCTTCGAGAGTATGCTATATCGTGTTCGCGACACGCCGCGTCCAATGGATTTATACCTCGATCACCTCTGGCTAATCGCTTCCCCAACCGTGTACCTGGCCCGCAAAACTGATAGCCGGGAATATGTAATTCGATCGGAAGTGCGTTTATCGCGTGATTTAATAGGCCTCTACCTATTTTCGTCGACATTCGCTGCAATTCTTTATCAATGGCGCCGGACCGTCGATATGCGTTTCCTGCCACGGCTGATTGTAGTGTTTGTAACAGCGACGATACGTCTGAATCTCCGGATCCGCCTTTATATATTCTGGAAGCTTGTCCCACACGTAGTGAACGTGATCACCGCACATTCGCAACAGAACTGCTTTCGACACAAATTGTAGCTGCTCGACGCTCAAATCGCAAATGTCGGAAAGATTTGATAGCAGAATGAACATTTTTTCTCTACTGAGCGACTCGTGATTTCGCGCACCTATAAATAGGCAGGCATTCGATCCAATCAACAGTGTTGAAAAAAATGAGATTCGTACGACAACTTGACGATTTACGTGAGAAATTGCGATAACAGATTACGATTAATGGGGGACAACGCGGAGATGCGCAGGCACGGTACGATGCTACCGACTACTATACGCGCGATCATTTGCGGCTCCTCGAATTGTGGTAAAACCAACGTTCTGATAAGTCTACTGGAAAGTCCGCACGGTGTACGTTTCGAGAATGTGTACGTGTATTCGAAGTCGTTGCAACATCCAAAATATCAATATCTGGAGAGTTTGTTGACGCCGATCGACGAAATCGGCTACTTTACGTTCTCGAATAACAGTGACGTCATTCCACCGAGCGAGGCACATCCAAACTCGATTTTCGTCTTCGATGACGTGGCGTGCGACAAGCAAGATACGATAAGAGAGTACTTCTCTATGGGTCGTCACTCGAACGTCGACTGCTTCTATCTTTGTCAGACGTACGCGAGAATACCAAAACATCTTATACGCGACAACGCGAACCTGCTGATCTTGTTTAAACAGGATGGTACCAACTTGAAACACGTGTACAACGATCATGTGAATACCGACATGTCGTACGAGGATTTCAGTGAATTATGTCGTACTTGTTGGCAACAAAAGTATGGATTCCTAGTGATAGATAAGGACAGCTGGCTTACGAACGGGCGATACAGAAAAGGATTTAACGTGTTCGCGATACCGCAAAACGATTAGTCGCTGCCAACATTTTGTTGAGAAGGGTGTAACGCTCGACATTCCGTCAACATGGCTGAAAGCGATAATATTCGTGAGCGTGAAAAGATTGCGAAGGAGATTGAGAAAACGAGCGAATCGATCCGCAAGAAACATCGCGCTTTAAAGACCGGTAAAATCGACGACGATATCGCGGTCAAGACCCATTTTAGACCTATTATCGAGCCACTACAAAAAATCGCCGACAACTCTAGCTTTATCGCGATGAAAAATGAGCCGGAGAGTAACACTGGCGCTATAATTAAAACATTACCCATCAAGCGGTATAAGGAGAAAGAGGAGGAGGAGAAGGAGGAGGAGGAAGATGCGACACCGAAAAAGAGGAAACGATTGAAGGCTAAACGTTTATTGACGCCGCGTACATTGGATGAACCGCTGCTAACCTCTACACCGCTGATAACTTCCATACCGTCCGGGACAATGAGAACCGTACAATCCAGGATACCCAAATTACGTGATGAGATCGAAGAAGTTCTCGAAAAATCTCGAAAAAACCTGTTTCAAGAGGAAGTTTTCGAAACCACGGGCAACCCGCTAGAAACATCCGTTCGAAACAGATTACAAACGTCGGAAGGTCAAGAAGTGTTACGAGAGCACTTGGGACCACTGGGACAAAAATACATAGGTGCTCTTCTTAGCGGTGACGAAAGAAAAAACGCGATCGATCACGTGTACGGCGTCTATTTCGACGAAAATGGAATGCGTCTCGGTAACAAACGATTCGACATTGACAAAGATGACTCTATAATAGACAAAGTGAGGTATATTGGTACACCAGGATTATACGAGTTGATCTTCAAGAGAATTCCCGACGACGTCATATACACTGAGGACGATATGCAAAAATATAAGAGCATATTGATGACGACGAGTGCGCATAAACGTCAATATGATGCGCAAGGTTAATTAAAGAGCAATAAGGGATACAAGTATAAACAAATAATCGCACCGTTGATGTCAATCGAATCGAAAAAGAAAAAAACGGGAATGGGAGTATTCACGCCTCGCGCGATGACGCTAACCGACAATAAGATCGATTACGTGCACTGGGACGATTCCAACGAGCTAGTGGATCGCCTACGATTGCTCGACGCTTCGCGCCGAGCTGGCCACAACGCTCACGATAACGAGATCCTGTCGATCATAGAGGAACTTCGCGAAGCTGGTCTTATTATAAATTAAATAGTGTCTCGACAAAATTAATCAGTTGATCAACGTTACTCACATCGAAAAAAAATGCCTATCAGCAAATTTGGATTATTCGAACGAGAAATGAAGAAATCTGCACAAGTGATCATTGGGGTAAATTGGTGAAAAGTTACTTGCGTCGAAACGCTTTGTGTCGCGTCGCTACGGACTATGACGCGAGGTCGCGCAAGATTCGTCGTGTAGCGCAACCTGAGGCTGATACCGATGCAGTCAACAAACTGTATGTGGAATAATATGTTAAAACGTTGAAGAATCAACAGAAAGAATCAGACGAGAAGCTGATTGCGTTCGAGGAGGATATGCGAGCTTTGCAGATTGCAATAAACGAACTTCGACGTGCGATTAACATTAATTCAGAAACGGCTATCAACCTATAATGAGCTGTAGCGAACAGTTTAGGAGCAGCTATTGTGCAATTATTAAACATCTACAAAGGCTTATCGAACGGCTACGAAGAATTATCGAACTACAATGAGTGACAGCGATCGAAGAGGAAACGACCTCGAACAGGTCAGCAACGGCTATTGAACGGCAGTCGAACGGCAGTGAACGGCTAAAGAGTGACAACGAATAATAAAACGCATGGTGATACGTATCGTTTATTTGATCGACGAATCGAAACAACGATGGATCGACGATTGCGAATAATCGAGGAAGCGAAGAAACAACATAGTTTAGAGAAACGGCAGTTGGTGAATGAACTGCACGCACCGGCGAGAAAAAATTTTCCCCGAAGACACGTCATAGTGCGGGGATACGATGACCTGTGGCAAGCCGACATCGTCGAGATGCGTCTGTACTCTCGTTTCAACAGAGGTTACAATTACATACTCACTGTCATCGATGCGTTGAGCAAGTACGCGTGGGCCGTACCACTCAAGAGTAAAGGTGGAAGCGAGACAGCTGACGCTATCGCCAAGATAATTCGAGATAGCAAGAGGTGTCCGAAAAATATACAAACCGATATGGGCAAGGAATTTTATAACATCGACGTGCAACGGCTCATGCGAAAATATGACATCAATCATTATTCTACATATTCAACATTAAAGGCATAGATCATTGAGCGATTCAATCGCACGCTGAAAAACGACATGTAGAAGATGTTTACGCTAAACGGATCTTACAAGTGGATCAACGTGTTGCCGGAACTCGTATCGAATTACAACGCGCGCAAGCATCGAACGATCGGTATGCGGCCCGTCGACATTACCCCCGCGATCGCTGAAAGACTCTTGGCTACTGTGTACAACCATGTAAATATCGCGGGTTCGGCGAAATTCAAAGTAGGTGACTCGGTACGCGTTAGCAAGTACAAGACAGTTTTCGAGAAAGATTACACGCCAAATTGGACAACCGAGGTGTTTAAAATTATAAAAGTGCAGCATACTAATCCCGTAAGCTATCTACTTGAAGATTATCGCAAAAAATCTATCGCTGGAGCGTTCTACGAACACGAGTTGCATCGCGCGAATTATCCGGACGTGTATCTTGTGGAGAAAGTACTGCGCAGGAGGGGTGACGAGGTTTACGTGAAATGGCTGGGATTTGATAATTCGCACAATTCTTGGATACATAAAGACAATGTGATTTAATTAATCATACAGTGTTTATTTTTTAATTTTCTGGAAAAAATATATGTGTATAACATTATAATATTTGAAAAAAATAAAAATATACATAAAAATATACATAAAAAATCCTTATCAATATTCCTTTCTATAGTACATGTATTTTTAATAAGTTATAATAAGATGTATGAGATACACATAAAAATATATGAAATATAAAAAATCCTTATTAATATTCCTTTCGATAGTACATGTATTTTTTTTTTTAATAAGATAATAAGATGTATGAAATATACATTACATTACATAAAAAATATATACAATATAAAAATCTTTATTAATAATTCTTTTAATAGATAGTTTATCGCACACATTTTACATTTTACATTACATATTACAAAGGTATCCTATAATGTCCCCACGGTAATGTATCTGTGGTTTCAGGTACGATATACCGCTTATCGTCGTACGGACTCAAAACAATTTTCGTCTCGCAGATCGTGTATACTTGGTGCAGTTTAGATCGTATACACGACTGCTGGCGCGTCATTTCAATTTCTTCCCTCAAACACCGCGTGTAATCGTCAAACGTTATCGTTCTCGCGACAACGTTGCTCTTGACGCCTTTAACTTTTTTTGTATCCTTTTTCCCATCGACCCGTAATGCGTACATCTTTGCTCTGAGCCCGACGAATTCGGTCATTTTGGCACCGTTATTTTCGTCCTTCATCAGGCCCGGTACTTTTTTATTTTCAAGCGGTATATCGTACGCATAGTCTACCGCATAATCGCTCGTGTCAAATCTGGCGATATCGCGCTTCATGTTCTCATACACATCAACGCACTCAATGTGATATATCAAACTATTTGTGTCGGTATACTTAATCTTACATTTATCGCGATACAGAGGAGACATGTACTCGTGATGAAATTCATACAAACATATCTTGGATACGTCGAGTATGCACATACCCACGTAAATCGGCTTGTAGAATTTCACCTCGAGTTTACGCAATTCCACAGCGATTAAGTTTTCTGAAAAAACGCTTCTGCTGTGGAAATTTGGTTTCGCGATCATCGCTTCTGCACCGTACCGGCCATCCTATTTTGTTAATAATTTTACATCTACACGATTACGCACATTTTCCATCGTTTTACCAAACACAGCATTATTCATTAATTTATATAAATTTTTTTCGAAATAATTTTTAGCCAATGTTCTGAAATGTGTATTTAATTCTATGTAATTTCGAAGCCATGGAGATTGAAAAAACTGTAAAATTCTATGTATTTTTGTTACACGAAGGCCGTGTTGCGTACATTGCTGTAAATTACGGTAGTGTATCACGTAACGCTTCTTGTCGTATAACGTTGCAAGCAGTTTGAATTCCCGCTTACCGGGCGGCTTGTCGCGCGTCGGACAAAACGGTAGGTCAGTGTGCGCATCGTGAAGATGTTGCGGGTACTCGAGATCCACTTCGAGGATATAGCCCGTAGGGGAATCTAGCGCGATGGATGATACATCAAAATTCGACACGTCGTCGACTCATCGAAAATCGGCATAGGGCAACGGTTGACACATTGCCCATAAATTATTTATATTGCGTATAAATTATTAACGTCAAAATACATCAAGTACGACGATGGTTTCGATGGATCGTACGACTCCATGTACTTATTATTAGCGCGAGCGTATCTGTTGGAACATTGACTCAGACCACCGCGTATACCGCGTTCGATGAACATAATCATGTCGATGTCTGTAAGCAGCTCGAACGTGATTTTCGTATGCTTCAACATGGGCGTCCCATGTGTATCCGGGGAGAGTATAGTAATAAGCGGGGTCGAGTTCGTAACTTTCGATACATTTATCTCGAAAGTTTTCGAAAATATCGGCTAATAACAAGACGTCGATTTTCAGATACAAATCGCTATATTCGCCTAGCGTCCGAATGGAGAACCGCGTCCAGACGTTCTCGACATGCGCGTAATCGCTCTCGGATACAGTTTCACCGGTCAAGGAACTGTAAAACGATTCGCGCGGTGGTAAACACGTATCTTGCAACCTGTCGACGGAATCGATGTATTCGTATGGAAATACATCTTTTCGCGTTAACAAATTGAAATTTTCGGCAGATAAATTTTGAAATTCCGATTTTAAAATTTTGACTTTATCTTTGTTCAAAAATGATGCCAATTTATCGAGACTCGATGCGAGAAATTTGTATGAATCGATGAAACGTAATTTTATATTTTTTTTTATTCTTCTTTAAAATCAACACTTTTGGTAAACGAAATATATTTTTCCTTGGTTATCGGCAATAACTCGATTTTCCCTTCGAACGCTGTGGCTATTTCCTCGATGATAAAATGAGAATCATAACCGGATAAATTGTGAAAAACTATCGGAATGCAAAAAGAATCTTTATAATTTAGATTACAATTTGAATGTGCAAGATCTCTGTACCGCCCGATCAGATGGCAATGATCGCGAACGCGTGTATCGTCTTGCGCGAACGGTTTTTCGCATATGTGACATTGAGTAACGTGATAAAATTTTTTCCGTTCTTCGAACGTCAAATCTACCATGGGGACATTTGTTTTTAAAATATTCTTTACACGTAATGCCAAATTTTTAAGATCTTTGACGAACCATGCTATACAATCGGCGCTACGACGCGAATGATACGCCGAAAAAGATTTGTCGAACGAGCAATGTACATAGTAAGCTAAAGTAAATATTTGATGATGATGTTGATATAATTTCTCTTCTTCCTTCTTGGCCAGGACGCATTCCAAGTCGGCGTACACAATGAATGGAAGCCGCTCTTTCCGATTAGGGTTGCTGAACTCGAGCCACTTGTCCTTGTCGCTCGGCAATCGGATAGCGCAGTCGTTTAGCTTTCCGCAGTCGACCGTATGCGATTGCAACTTGTCGTCCGAACCAAAATAATGTAGACATCTGTAAAAGAAAAATTTTAATTAAGATTTTAACAATCCATATTATAATTATACAAATTATAATTATTCAAATAATATAAAATAAACTTACCGATCGCAGATATATTTCTTGTGATCTTTTTTGCTCAGTTGCGAGCTCACTAGTCGGGATAGATTCTTGATCCACGCGAAATGTCCCACGCTGTTGTTACCGTCTTCCACGTATAGCAAATTGATGTGCTTATCTCGCTTCTGCTGCAAAAGACGTATCGGGACAATGTTCTTATCTTCGATGCTGTACACATTGTTTGAGATACTGTTTGCAAGTTCAAACTTTTTAATTTGATTTACAGTCACTGGAAACTCAATGTCCCGGAGATTCAACACTGTCGCGTAATGTGGGTACGATGATTCTCGTTCCGCGGTCCTTTGTGCGGGATACAGAGCGGCGACCACTGCCCACGCGAAACACGCATTGTCCTTTGATTGCACGTTAATCACCGCTCTCTTCGTCGCAATCTCTCGCGGTAACTTGATGTGACATCCCGCGCGCATAGGATTGTACTTGTTAATATTTACAGTCAAGTTCAGTATTCGCGACAAAGCCCACCCGCTATCGCGTTCCTGAAATTCGTCCAGAGACGCTAGGGTAGACTCAATAACGCGCTGTTCGTACCACTCGCGTAAATCGGACGTGCGAAAGAGTTCATGGTTTCTTGTATTCACACTTTTATTTGCATGTTTATCTCCGGCCAGAAATTCACCATTGAATATTGTGTTCACTTTTACACTGCTGTGTTTTTCTAGAGCGTCCTGCACATGTTCCAACACAATATCTTTGGCATCTTCGAGAAATTGGCGCGGTTCGATGTGATTATAATTTATCACCGCACCAGTCGATACGCGACTCTCGAACGCGATATCGATCTCTCACCAAACGAGTCTTTCCGCGTTATTGTCATCGCTGTAATCACCACCACTGGAAATAAATCGTCTCTGCAATCGAGTTTTTGCACCTTCGAGCCGCGCGATTTTAGCTGCCAGAGATTGTCTATTTCCGCTCGAGAGTCGCGAACACTTAACACGACTGCGTCCTTCGAGCTCTTTGATCAATTCCTCGCAACGCTGCAGCCATGCAAAATACTCGCCCAAGGTGGCAATTTGGCGAGATCGCTCTATCAGATTGCCTTCAGTCTGCTCGATGTTTTCCATTTTTTTTTTCTGTTTTTTACAATATGTCACAGGATTCTATTTCTACGGAGCACTTGCACGTAACTTTTGCATACGATAAACAATACCGTTCGCTATCTTGAACGTGAAATCGCGCAAAAAATCTTTCTGACAAAACACACTATCTTTTTTGACAAAACACTACTTTTGCTGCCGACGTGTCGATGCGTTTTCAAATGACGTATTATGATCTGCCGCGCTTCGATCCTTCTTATATTCGACCAATAAGCTTTCAGAGACTGTTGGGGACACGAAAGAAAATTTTCTTGCAAAATGGAATACTATAAAAAAAAACCTGGAATTATCTATATTAGGGGTGTACCTCGAGAGTACAAAGCAGCCGGACATCGGCGCTATTAAAATTTTTTCTTAAAAATAAAATACAATAAAATGCAATAAAATAAAATAAAATACAATAAAATGCAATAAAATAAAATAAAAGAACAAAAAAAAACAGGATTAGGCCCAAAATCCTTTTCAAAGTACAATAAAATGCAATAAAATAAAATAAAATAAAAGAACAAAAAAGGATTAGGCCCAAAATCCTTTTCAAAATACAATAAAATACAATAAAATGCAATAAAATAAAAAAAAAGAACAAAAAAAATAAAAAAATAAAAAAAAAGGATTAGGCCCAAAATCCTTTTCAAAATACAATAAAATGCAATAAAATAAAATAAAATACAATAAAATGCAATAAAATAAAATAAAAGAACAAAAAAAAATAAATAAAAAAGGATTGGGCCCAAAATCTTTTTCAAAAGAATATCGCTCTTTTGTCCTTTTGTTTATGGTTGTCATTCAACGTGAGTCACTCCCCCCCCCTGCGTGACGTCATACCCCCGCTCCGCTGAGATCCCCTCGCACCTCACCTCCCTGAGAAGACCTGAGTTAGAACCGGCCCTATACATCTACTGTCGCGCGGTTTTCGCCTTTGGAAACGACGAATCCGTCGAAATACCGCATTCGATCGGATTCGGCGCGCGTTATCGCGCGCGTCTCTCGCCGCTGCGCGTCCGAGAGAAAGAAACGGCGACGGAAACGTCGCCGCGAATATCCCTCGCGCGCGCGCGAGTAAATCCTAACGAAATCCCGCTCCTCTCTCGTTATCGCGCTTAAAAGGAGAGACAAGCGGTGAGTCTGAGAACGCGCGCGCGACGAAGTCCTCGTCCGATCGACGTGCTCTCCGTCGATCCTCGAGAACGAAGGATCGACGACTTCAGTAGTTAGTACTAGGCGGGTTCTAACTCTGGTCCTCTCAGGGGAGGTGAGGTGCGAGGGGATCTCAGCGGAGCGGGGGTATGACGTCACGCGGGGGTTGCGGGGTGGGGGATGCACGTGTTGGATGTTTTATGACATGCATAAACAAGAAAAAAGGGTGGTATTCTTTTAAAGATGATTTTGGGCCTAACCCAAAAAATCATTTTTTATCATCTTATTTTATTTTATTTTTATTTTTTAAGGAAAAATTTTAACAGCGCCAATGTTCGGCTGCTTTGTCTCCCCTCGCTACCCCCGTTTACATATCAGCGCCGATGTTCGGCTGCTTTGTACTCTCGAGGTACACCCCTAATATAGATAATTCCAGGTTTTTTTTCCCGTTCGACGTATAAACAATAGAGATTAAGCGGACAAGCTTTCAGAGATTATCGGGGACAACAATTTTTTTTTGCAAATGGGGTATTGTAAAAAATCTTTTATACCCTTATATATATTTTTATAACTTTATTTCATAAACTTATATTTTTGAGATATTTCGGTCCGGCCTTTGTCCCCCATTTACATATCAGCACCGATGTTCGACTGCTTTGTGCCCTTGTCGCGTGTGTGAGAGAGAACGATGAGAGTGTGAAAAGAACGCATACGAGAGAGAACGATACTTATAATAATAAGACTTATAATTAATGCGAGAGCGCACGAAGGATTGGAGCGTAAGGAAAGACATGTAAATAATTGCATTTTTTTGTTATAATTAAAGATATATAGTATAATTTATTTATAATTTATTTATAATTTATTTATAATTTATTTATGTGTGAGTTTAATAAAAAAGTATACAATATAAAAGAATTAATAAAGAAATTAAATTTTCGTACATAAATTTTTGTGCGTAAATTTTCAAACATAAATTGTTCGCGAAAAAATTTTTTTAAGACATGTACAAGGCATTTATACATATATATTTTACTTCCTCCTCCTTCTCCTTATATATTTCGTCCAATTCTTTCTCATCTTTTGAATGTGGGAAGGTACAACGCAGAAAGAGCATGAACATCCAAATAAAAATATCCAATATGATGGTCGCAGGGGACTGCTCCTGAAACAAAAGAAAACATATACATTTCATTAGTTTAAATTATTTAATAATTTATTTTAAGATACTTTTGATATAATAAATTAAAAGATACAATGTTATCCATGACTCATCTATTTTAATGTTTGCAAAGAGGGCACATGTCGCATGGCATTACTTGATGTAAAGATTTCCTGCACTCTCTGCATGACATATCCTCTATATTGCAATAAGTTGTGGTTCTATGTTTCCGAACAGATTTAGCCTCTACAAATAAAAACGCTCGTTGGATAAAGCATTTGGGGCAATATTTCGAATTTTCTTCATTTTCTTCATAATACCACGATATGCAACATATTTTTAGCGTTTCATTCAATGTCAATATTTCAGGTAGTTCTAGGTGTCGTTGTTTTTTTTGCCATAATTCGTCATCATCCTCACTATCATCACTATTATAATCACTATCCGTCTGAGTTCTATTATATTAAGTAATATTAATTTTTTATTATATTAAGTAATATTTCATTATCAGACCCATCCTCGTCTGATAATTCGTGATCACCAATATCCATCTCTCTCTCCTCTCTCTCTATCTCCATCCTCTCAGCCACAATCAGATCCATATCGTAATCATCATCATCGATAATAATTACTTCAGCCATTGCACAAGATTACACAGAAGAGCAACGAAAGAAAAAATGATAATCTAGTGCAGCTCCTTTTCGTTTTATATATTTTTAACATAAAACAATATACAGCTGTATTCCTTGGAAGAGGATTGCATCTTAGGGCACAACCTTTTTTCTTTTCTTTTCTTTTTCTTTTTTCTATCGATGTTCATGCTCTTTCTGCGTTGTATCTTCCTACATTCAAAAGATGAGAAAGGATTGGATGAAATATATATATAAGGAGGAGGAGGAGGATTGAAACATGTCAAATCATAGTACGGAGGCGCGGGGGATGCTTGGGGACGTGTTGGATGTCTTATGACTAGCATAAACAAAAAAGAGCAGTATTTGAAGAGGATTGGATGTTAGGGCCAAAATTATTTTCCATATTTTTTTCTTGGAAGAATTCCAACGTATCAGCGCCGATGTTTGGCTGCTTTGTGCTCTTGCCACGCGTGTGAGAGAGAACGAATTTTTTTCTGAGATGTAAATAAAAAATGATTATTACGATACACCTTACTTATTTATTTTACACAAAGATAAAAAGGTTTAGACGAAATACAGGGATGATTGAAGCGCATCAAGTCACTGTGATTTGAACGCATCGATACGTCGGCAACAAAAGTATAGTGCAAAGTAGTGTTCTGTTAGAAAGATTTTGCGCGATTTCACGTTCAAGCGAACGGTATTGTTTATCGTGTGCAAAAATTCACGTACAAATGCTCCGTAGAAAAGTGTGACGTAGTGTAAAAAAGATAAGAAGAAATGGAAAACATCGAGCGGACTGAACGCGATCTGATGGAGCGATCCCACCAAATTGCCACCTTGGGCGAGTATTTTGCATGGCTGCAGCGTTGCGAGGAAATAATCAAAGAGCTCGAAGAACGCAGTCGTGTCAAGCGTCCGCGACTCTTGATCGGATGTAGACAATCCCTGGTAGCCAAAATCGCGCGACTCGAAAGTGCAAAAATTCGATTGCAGAGACGATTTATTCCCAGTGGTGGCGATTACAGCGATGACAATAACGCGGAAAGACTCGTTTGGCGAGAGATCGATACCGCGTTTGATAGCCGAATTTTGACCGGTGCTGTAATTAATACAAACCATATCGAACCTCGTCAATTTCTCGAGGATGCCGAAGACATTGTGATAGAACATGTGCAGGACGCTCTAAAAAAACACAACACTGTAAAAGTGAACACTGTGTTTAATGGTGAATTTGTGGCCGGAGATAAACGCGCCAATAAAAGTGTGAATACGAGAAACTGTGAACTCTTTCACACATCGGATTTACGCGAGTGGTACGAACGGCGCGTTATCGAGTTCATCCTAGCATCTCTGGAAGAGTTTCAGGAACGCGACAG